TCAAAACGAACGTCAGAACCATAAAGACTAAGTGTGCGGTTTAGGCTACCGGTTTCCATCACTGAACGATAGGTCTTCGTGACTATAGGGTCCACCCCATCCGTGTCTGCCATTCATTACATCAGTGTGTAAAATAAAAAAAAGTTAATGGTATCCAAACACATACATGCTGAACATTGTGGTACAATCCTCACCTTTTATGGCATTCTGTGCTATGCATGGCGGTGGTGCAAATAGCTGGTTAAAGAGTTTATGGACCGCAAGACCATAACATGTTTAACCCTTTGCATCAACTCTTGACCAATCTTGAGTCTCTTGGTGCAGTATAGCTCACGGATGAAAGTTTGCACCAGGCCTACGCTGGTCCCTACTGCCATGCGGTCGACACCAGAAGGAGAGCACAGTGAGTCCTTATCTGCAATGTGTAGTGTGTGCGTGTGCTACCTTATTCTCACACTTACAAGCAGAATTATTCAAACGCTGAAAAATGCGAAGTTCACCTACATATTCACGAACAGAACAGAAAGGGTCAAGACAAACTGCTCGAATATATAGACAACCAGATGACCTAGAGGATAGCACGCGCCTTAAGTATATAGTTGATGCGTTTGACTCGTCCGATCAATATGCAACTGCTATAGACAGTCCATATATTTGAAACATCTGTTTTCTGACCTTTCATGTACTATTTTCACACTCACACGAAGTCGAGCCCAATGAAACCTAATGCACGGGATTCATTGTTTCCTCGTACGCCCAATCAAAATTACAAAACTATAAGCACAAATGTGTTGTGCTGTTGCTAAATCGCCATTACTATGGGGTCATTTTCCCATCATAAATTTGGCTGAATAACTGATAAAGAACTCCATCTCTTTGATCATATTTATATGAAATACAAAAAAAAAATGCATTGACGAATGCGACCGAGGTCAATTAAAGGTTATGGTGAAAAATCAACGAGTCAGCGAGGGCGGGGCGGGGCGGCAGCTGCGGAATTGAAACATGCGAACTACCAAATGACGAGTTATATCGCTTGATCTCAGCAAAGTTGACAGAGATCGTTCGAACACCTTTCGATTGACCCAATCTGCGACCTGTCCGACTGAGCCCGTTTACGGATCATGGCAGACTACAATCAATATGGCACAAGAATGAGCCTTTCCTTGGAGGTAGACCGTTTGTGATCATCCTGATCGTACAGTCAGACAAAAAAAAACGGTTTGCACAATGCAGTTGGAATCATTTCATGGCTCCGAAAAATAAGGGACAATTGATAGAGAATTATGACCTCGTAGTCACCCACACTAGAACAGATTTTGAGCGAAGCCCATATTGTACACTCTCGCCAATGACACCGTGCAACTCCGACGGCCAGTCCCGATGACGACTCCCCCCCCCCCCAAAAAAAACAAAACAATGGAAATTGCGAAAATGACCAATCACCGAATACCCAGCTTCGGTTGATCCTTTATATCGTTATTTAACCCATTTCCGAATTACCTGACCTTCACTGAAGCATTTCCAAGTCACCGGGCTGTGCACAAAAAAAGGGACTGATTCAGAACGCTTTTTCCCGCCCGGAGTAAAAGTTTCAACCACCTGTCTGCCCCCACCCAATTCCCCCTTTCGTTTTTGAACATTCAAGGCGCTGTGACACATCGTTGCTTTTGCCTTCGCCCGGTAAGCCCGTCGTAATTGAAAAGAATCTGCACAAAATGCTTGCCTATTCCGGTTCTAATCAATCGGATCAATGTGCATCAGTTGGACTCGCACTCGCTTCTAGTAACCGACGTTCACGTTCGACTGGCACAGGCAGTATCCGAACTCCATTATGCAGTAACCTGTCAAGTTCCTTCGGTCGAACGTATTCGATCAACCCAGCAAAAAAGTGGACAGCATTTGTCAAATCACAGGCAATCAAGGGCGGCTGTGATTTCGAGTAGACTGTATGTGTCGATTTCTGTGTCCGTTTGCATACGACCCACCATGTACTTCTATTAGATGACGCTGATTATTGGTGTCACGTAGTTCGTTCTGACGGTTTTGCTACGACTGCAAAAACCTCACTCCGAACACGTGCTACAATAGACACGTAGTTGATTGTTTTGTGACTAATGTGATTGGCACCAGTGATGAAGAATAGCCTGGTTCGACGAGAGCAAACAAGCAGGCAAGCAAGTAACTGTCACCGTGCAAATGACGTTATGTCAAGATGATTGTGTTTTATGGTTGCCTTGGAAAAACAAAACCCAGATTGATTTTCCTGATTCCGAGGGACGGGGGAGAGTGAAACACGGTTATGGCATGACTGGATGATATGACGAGAAGATGGAGTTGCCACTGGTATTTTTTCTCTCATAACTATATGCTTAAAAGTCAATATTGATCTTGATTTGTGCATACATACATATCTATATATACGTGTGTTTCAGAGACATTTAACGATATCTCGTGACAGAATGACATCTCCAACTCTTTTCTTGTCTCTTAGCTTACCGATTAACAGGGTACGGAGAAAAGTTGTCCTCAGCGAGGCACATCTACCAAATAACGAAAACCGAGCGGTCAGCTGTTTTCGATTACTGGATGATGGCTGTCGACAACCATACATACCATATATTGTGAGGTGAAACACGGTAGAAAAGTTGAAACTCTACAGATGAGAAGAACAGCCGGGCTCACTATTTTATACTGCACACAATTGAGTGATAAGCAGAGGAAGGAGTAAACTCCACAGTCATAAGAATCAGCAACCTAAGAACCGAGAATCGGAGTTCCGGACCCAACATAAGACCTCACTAGGTACGGTATTGTGCTTTGAAGCCACTTGCGCGGATGGGCGAATGTAGAAATGCCTTACGAATAGAATACAAAAACAACCCAGAGGTATTTATTTCTGCCACGCACCTCTAGCCCTCGAACCGTCAAGTGCCACCAAACGGTCGCGCAACAGGATGGTACCAATGACCCTATATAGGTGTCAGATTGAAGCCGAGTACATTACGATGTATTTCTACAGGGCCTTTTATTGGAGATAAATTGCTTGTGTAAAGTGAACACCCATTGCTTCCTCGGACACTGTTCCTGAGCATCTGTGACCACCTACTTTTCAATGAAGCAATGCACACCTAAATGGCCATCCACCTATCCTTCTTACCACTTTACGGCGGCTGCCTCCTAACAGAGATGAGTTGTCGGAACTGCAGTCGTTCATGGACGGCAGCGTAGACTGTGAACCAGCATGACTTCTTATATGGAGCGCAGACCGAAGTATTCTGCATCCCGGCTTTCGTAGTCCAAATAGGTTCTCTTGGTTATCCATTGGTTCCACAGTCTCTGCTTGTTTGGGCAATGAGACGATGACAAGGCAGCTTTGGTCACGTTTACGCAATGTGTTCAAACGATTGCATTCCTCACCGCCGTATGAGAATAAAACACCGGTTTTTGACTACTCCATTGGGGAGCTGATTTCTCTACCGGAGTTCTAGAATGCGTCTTAGACACCAGTGATAGATAGCTTGGCCATTGGGCAATATGGTTGAAACAGGTAGTAAAAGCTTTCGATGGACTATATCAGCTCGTCGTTTAGTTCTAATGAATCTGCAAAACGAATTCGGAGTGTCGAAAACATTTTGGTTTTGGATGTGTTCATCTCTAGGCCTATCTCAGTGGCCTGTCGACTGTACAGCTAACGATTTCATGGAGGTCAGGCATATCCCCACCAAAGACGAGGATTTTATCACCGAATTCTAAATTGGGGATTTAGAAGTTCCAAGAACTCCCTAGTATTCTTGCCCGGAAGTTTTTCCTATTCAAGATCTGGAGACTTGCCCGGCAGTGTGCATTTTTGTTAGTCGAAACTTGTAGCAGCTGAAGGACTTTGATTGAAGAGCTATTGCACGCTCATGAGAACAGGTCATCAACACCTAGAAGTTAGTTCAGCACACACACACACACGCGCACAGGGAACAGAATGAACCAGGTGAATCCACGTTGTGTTGGTTGCACAGTTTATAAATTAACCCGGTCATCTATCACTCTAGGGATATGGAAGCCCTCAATTCCAGTGTTTTATTGGTGGGCCAGTGACGAATTGTAATCCGGGTTTTCTCCCAGAATTCCCGAGAGGACTACCCACTATCTTTATGATGCGATGGTTAGACTCCCATACTTACTGAAAACTGTATAGCCATTGCTGCCAGAGAAATGTGTTTTGGCACGTTTAGTTTACTTCTAAGCCACTTTTTCCTATGCGAATCGGGTGAATTCATGGATGGTTAATCTAGACAGAAACTTAGGAAGTACACACAAAAAGAATACATGACTCTGCTTTCCCTTTTCTTTCGAGAATTCCCCTTCTAGCCCTAGCAAAGCTAAGTGCTACCCGTAGATCAGTCGGTTGGTAATGGTGCCATCTAGTGCCAGATCAAATTCCGTATGGGAATTTACAAAAAAATTATTGCAATGAAAACCGTTCTTCAGAAGTGAACGCTCTTTTTTGATTTTCTTATTACACACTTTCGTGTGATGAACGACAGACGGGGAAAGCCCCATAAGCACGAGGACGTGCTGCTGTTCAGTAATGGAAACCGGCAACCTAAGCCCCGGGACTTGGAGTGGCGAACCACGTAAAGCCCCGATAGGTCAACCATCATTGCTGAGTGTCCGAGTCCACAAATCAAGTGAAGTAACGCCTACCAATTCACGCCTAACCACTTTAGAGACTACCCTACTATCCGCGACCCGGAGACGTGCTTGGGAGAGTGAAATTACAGAGTTGCAGTATTCTACGGTTTATGATTATGTTAATAAAATATCTCACCAAAGTTAAAGGATCACATTTCCGTGTTGCTATGCGCATAGCTCTGTTCTATACCTGTTAAACATTAGGTTTGGACATACAAGGTGACTGTTCACAGCGTGCTTTCGATTAGCGATATGCAGATAACCGGACAAAAATCAAGCAGAAACCAGCACTATTGAATGGTACATATGAGCTAATTGAAATGGGCACAAGGGGCGAGGGGAGATATACGAGTAGGAAGACACAAGCACAAACCACTTACATTCAAACCACTGCATGCAGTCTGATGCATGTATTCCGGTCGCCGAACCCGCTTCTCCAATCGTTCAAACAGAGCGGCTGCTTTCCAGTAACATTTCAGACGAGCATGCAGTTGTGTGTAAATCGCCCAAGGATGCCTGGTCGGTGTGGTCACGGCCAGAGCGCAGAGTTGATTGAAATGATTCAGAATAGATTCGAACGAGTTGGCCGCACAAAACGAATCAAATTGCTCTTCCAACGATCGTCTGGCCTCCGTTACGGTCATGATTGGGAGGTTGCGTGATCAGCACAGTGGACGAAGGGAGGACAAACGAAGCAGACAACAGTCTGGTTGACTAAGGACAACCAGGGGACGAATTGCAGGTGAAGGGAGCTGAAAGGGAATGTGAACTCTGAAGAAACGGGTCTCGTTTTATGATATTCATAAAGATGTACGTGGCTAAAGATCACCCTTATTCTACTAAGGTCCTATGTGGCTTACCACTTCAAGTCTCCAAAAGAAGGTTGCTGGATGCTATAACCGAACGGCGGGTTCCTATAACAATGCAGTCCTTCGAGCAATCACAGAAAGATGTGAACATAAACTCTGCCGTTCGATTTGATTGCTCATACCTTTCACATTGGGAGAGGTCATATGAACAAGTTAACATGCCTAGAAGCTGTTTGCCAGTCGAAAGCAGTTAGATAGATTTATAGTCAGGTACATGAGGTGAGAGACATTTTCACACTTTAAAAGACAGGTATCACTCATACGAAGTTCAGTTCAGTTCTTACAACCATTAACCATGCACTTTCGTGTGCCGGTTTTGGCTGCCCATTTGAATAAAATAGCAGAATGATGATTATAATGTTGAGAGCAGATTTAATCGGAAGGTAGCATATTTTCATAGACTGAATTTACAAGAATAATGAGTAGATGCATGAGCGTCACTGTTTGCGACACCCAGCCGTATCATTCAGTGTCTCTAACCACCGGTGACCATGATCTCGGGGTCCCAGCCAGGGAGCCTAACGAGACCTATGTGAGCCAGTCTCCTGGTCAGGGTTTCCATACTCTCATGCCAGGTCTTAGCTTAACCGCTCTTTATTTTTCTCCAACCGTTACNGTGGCAACCTATCTGATGACATGCGTAGCACATGTCTCAACCAGCGTAATCTATGGAGGTCGACTACCTCTTCCGGTGGACGACCGCGATTACCTAAAACCGAGAAGGTTCATATACTTCTCAGGCACCGCTTCCTAACAGATAAGTCCAGAGAGCTGCTCTGTCATTTGCGTCAAATACAGCACGTATGCCCAAAAAGACAACGATAGTCGGTCTACTGAATGCTTGATATTGCTTGAAAATCTGACGTAAATATATGATAAACGCAGCTCTGACCAGAGCGGAATCCAGCCTGTTCTTCGTGGATATGACGCTCTCTCCTTCAACTGAACCTGCAAAGGATCAGAGACGTTAACATCTCGGATACAACGGAGATGAGACTAATCCCTCGGTGATTGGAGCAATTGTGACGGGGGCCCTTCCTAAAAACAGGTACGACGTCGCCAAACTACATTCGGATGGAACGGATTCAGTATTCCAGATGGTTGGGAATAAGGAAGTTAGTTCCCAAACAAAGCTTGCATCACCGTCTTTGAAAAGGTCCGGAGGGAGCTCGTCTGGGTCGGGCGATTTGTGACGTTTCAGAAGTCTGAGCTGTTGGGAGACTTGTTCTTCTATAGATGGTGAAATGTCCACAGACTATGAAGCACTACAGACATCAGGAGATGGTGATGATATCGATGGCCAACTGAATTGGTGATGGAAGCGCTCCGCCCAGCGCTTAAGCCTACGTTGTCGATTGTGAATACATTCATCATTACATACATTCACCATTAGTTTCGCATATGGTGTCACTGGCGCATGGATTTTTGTGACCGGTGGCCTGGATTAGCCGAAGAGGTTTGTGAGCATTACCAGAAGTAGAGGCTAGTTCCATCTCGGAAGCGCGTTGTGCCGATCAGGTCTCTCGATCCTCTTTTAGGAACCGTCTCAGCCCAGCAATGAGAGTCCTGCGAACTGTGTTGTATTCATTACCTGGAGGGATGCTTCGACGAGTGTCCAGCAGTTCTAGAGAACCCAGTNTGATCCTCGAATTGTTCAGCACATCTTTCAAGACAGCGGTACTGAATGAATTCAACTGCATCGTTTGCTAGGCCAGAAAAAGCGTTTCAGTTCAGCACTGAGGGTCCTGCGAACTGTGTTGTATTCATTACCTGGAGGGATGCTTCGACGAGTGTCCAGCAGTTCTAGAGAACCCAGTGATTGACTGTGCGTTTGGTGGAGTCACATGCTGTGGTGGCAGACTTACGCATGGCGTTACGGATGTGAGTCCACTGGTGATCAACGTTCGAGGATGACAGACTGTCTAGATCAGCAGCTAAGGTGTTTTGGTAGGCGGTAACTACGTTTGGGTCGGTCACTTTCATCAAATCGAGTCTTCTCGGGTGACGTTGCTGTTTTCCACCAAAGCGCAGAGAATTTCGCGTACACGAGTGCATGATCAGGGCTGTAATATATGCTTCAGATGGATTTGCGGTCCGTTATGCAATTTCTCCATCGATAGCTGATGGCAATATGATCTACTTGAGTCCAGAGCTGATCAGATGATGGAGGTCGCCAGGTTGAACGTTGGCACCATGGTCGGCGAAAATTGGTGCTCGAAAGGGAAAGACCATGTTCAGCGCAGATTTGCAGAAAGCGGTCGCCGTTGTCAGTTCTAACATCGAGGCTATGCTGGCCACCAAGTAAGGTTTCGTCAGCGTCTAACCTACCTCCTTGCGCGTTAAAGTCGCCAGCTAGTATCA